ACCCCTCAACACTTAAGAGTCCTAAAGCAAAATTGAAAGACCTTTTTGTAAAAGACCCCTTCCACTCAACCAGTCAAAAGTCAAAATCCATCATCTTCTCCACTTTACAACCTTTCCAAACACCTTCGAAACTTTTCATCTTCCATAGCCAAAAACTCTTCAAATTTTTACATCTCTTAATCTTCATCAACCTTCGACTACACAATGGCAACAATCGGAGAATCAAGTTCACAAGTCAATGGAGAACAACCTTTGCCGATTAATCTCACCAAATTGGCCACCAATGTCAAAGTAGGAGGAAGCTTCGACCCTACTGGATTTCTCAAAAATGACAAGAATTCGGAGCTTGCCCAAAGGATCATCCATGCAATTCAAAATAGTGGTCTAATGAGGTTATGTTCTTATTCCTACTCTGGATACTATGATGAAGATGTAGCCGATTTCTATGTCAATGCCAAGGTGAATGGTTGGACCATTGAGTCCACTGTTAATGGAACTCCGATCTGCATTGGAGAAAATGAGTTATACTCAACCTTTGGACTGCTTATGTCTACCCCGGAACAACCCTTGCTAGATTTAGACATGCATGTGTATGACCGCACTGAGGTCTGGGCAGAGATAATAAATGAGAAGGCATCTGTTGAACCTAATATCTCTGGAGATAAAACTGATTTGAAGCCGGAATATCAAATGTTGATAAATGTGATATATAAATGTATTATGTGGAAAATAAACAGTATGGAAGACATATCTCCAAAAAGAATTGGCTATATGCATGCTATTATGACTGGTGTTAGGGCAAATTGGAGTAAGTTGGTGATGAGCAGAATATGTCATTTTGTTAAGGGTGCAAAAATTAAGAATGGGAAATTCAGCGGTGTTCTAGGATTTGGTCTACTGATTGGAGAGACTTTGAAACAAAAAGAATTAACCATGCGAGTAAGAAAACCCTTTAGAAACAATCGAATTCTCTATAAAGATTTTGAGGTATTAGATGAGTCCAACAAAAGAAAAAGAAAATCCCGAGCACTACAAGCCAGAAAAAAAGACTAGTGCAAGATATTCTCAACCCTCAACCCGTACCTCAAGCCAATGATCCTTCAAGCCACAACCCCAATCCAAGTCACACTCATACTTCAAGCCACAACCCCCATCCAAGCCACACTCATACATCTAGCCACGATCACAACCTAAGCCAAACTCACACCTCAAGTCTTAACCAAAATTCCAACCAAAATAATGTGGCCCAAAACCCAACCTCTTAGGTAGAATCCATGGAGGAAGTTCAAAGTGAGATTATATGTCAATTTGATGGGTTAAACTCAGTTTTGGTGAGTGAATACCAAAGAGTATTGAATTGGAGACAATGGAGACTTGATACATATCATGAGTTGATGTCACGTGGACCTAGTATGGACAATGAGGAAATTTTTGCTTTAAATTGGATTGATTGTCATATTGTTTCTCAAGCCACAAGAATTTCAGTTATTAATGCTACATTTCTAGCCAATTTGAAAGCAAAAATGGCCGAGCATGTTTAAGTCAATGAAGTCCAAGGAAATTTGCCAACCGGAGATGATTTTTTAGATGATGATGATATTGATCGAGTTATTGAAATGTCTCGACATATCACAGACCCGGAACTGGCAAGTGGCTCACAAACTGAATATTTTGGTCAGTTTACTGATCAAGGAAACAATGTGGTGAGTCCAAATTTTCTTGATATTGATCTATATGATGTGAGTGTTTTGAATCAGACTGAGGTGAGCCATGCACAAATGGAAAATCAAGCCATGAGAGGCAGCCAGCACAATGAAGAAGCACAATCTCAACATTTTGAGAGTGGTCAAGGTGATACATTTGTGTTAGAGCATCTCACCCCGGAAAGAGCAAGGCAGGAACAAGGACAATCTCAGCTGCCTGATGACAACACAGCTCAAGAAAGAGCAAGATCTCAACCCACAGTCCAAGAACAAGACCATGAAGCTACTGTCTCGAATGAAAACTTGAAGAAACTGGAAAATATTGTTTTCAGTCAGGTGGACAGAATGGAAGGTTTGATCCATGGAATCTATACTCGTATGGATCATGTTGTCAACACTCATAGTAGAAAGCTTGAAGAATCATTTGTTGATAATCAAAAGAGTCAACAATGTTTGATTGACACACACCAATCCTTAGAGAGACAAATTGGTGGTTTGAATGCCAATGTCAAAGTTGTGCTCAATGAATTCTTTCTTCAACTTTCTCAAGCCCTCAAGAATGATAGGCAGGCCAGTGAAGTGGTCTCCGTGAACCAAAGCAAAGGAATTCTCAAAGTAGTTCATCAACAAGATAATCAACTTAGAGATGTCCACACAGATATTGACTCTATCAACACCAAAGTTGGATGTCTTCGTGGTTCCTATGACATCATTGCACAATCTGTTTCTTCCCTTCATGCATCTGTTCATGAGTTGGTTGATTACTCCAAAAAGGGGGAAGAGAGATTCAACCATTTGAAAGAAATGATGGAAGGCATCATGACTGCCATGGCTACCAAAAATATTGGTGTAAGCAGCAGTAGGGGAGGCAGATCTGGCAGAATCAACACCACAACCAGAAGAGCAGGACTGGGATATTGGTTTGGTGGTGATGCAAGCAATCCAAGAGGATCAAGTAGTGCTAATACCACTAACATATCATTTCGTGACATTATTTGTGCAGGTGGAAATCATGAGCAAATTAATTGGTTCAACAAAGTAGCTCTCTATTTGGAACCCACACCAAGGGATGGCAGAGTTGAAATGCCAAGATTGGTAAATCTAAATGATCTACCAAAAGGGATGAAGAAGAGTGGTCCAAGTGACCAGAATATGTGGATCTCAAATGAGAATTTCAGACGCATCAAGAGCTATGCAAGATCCTTAATGCTAATGGTGCTTCTATACTACATCAAGGTGAATGATGCAAAATTGCAAGGAGATAAGAGTCTAGAAGAATGCATAATCTGGTATGAAGAAAATGCACTGCCCGGAGACAACATCATTGAAGCTTTCAATTACTATGTGATTGGGCAGGTATGCAAAGATTATGCTATTAGTGACAATTTCAATGAAATCAAGAAACATATCAATCATGTGTTAGAAGAAAAGAGGAACAAAATAATCAAGTGATTTGTATGATTGATGTTACAATGTTTTGCTTGATCTACAAACTCTAAAGTATGATTATGAATATTTTGCTCACTATCTGATTATGATGCTTATAGTATTTTGTCTATTGTTATTTTAATTTGTCTTGAAAGGTAAATTTTTAGCTTAGCTTGTACAAATCGCATAATTGGAAAAATTTCAAAAATCATTAATATTAAAGTCCAAAAATGCGAATAGGAAATTTTTGCTAAAAATACCTTTCCAAGAGTCAAAATCAACTGTTAAACTCATCATGGCTATGTCAGATTTAATAAAATCTTTTGAAAATTTTATTTTTAAAAGACAAGCCGAATGACTGAGTATAGGTTTTGGCGTCATCAAAAAGGGAGAAAATTGATAGAAATATTTTTGTAATAAAGTTTTGATGAGCCAAATGTACTTTAAATCCCCTTCGAATTTAGGTCTTTAGTACAAGCATCATAATTCAGAATATCATGTCAGTATGCAAAGGAAAATCTACTAAATGAAGAACAAAATTAATTTGGAGAATTAATTTTGGTCCTACGGGTATTCATCCAGAAGTCAAGCATTTAACAAAAGTGTTGTAGCCGAAAATGATCGGATGAGCCTAACGGTGAAATGGTAGAAGTTCTAACATACAACAATCACACCCAAGATCAATTCCCCCTCAAGGATTTATTTTAAAGGTCACAATGTGACCAGGTCAAACAAGCAAGATGTGCCAAGTCAAAGTCAAACAAACAAAATAAGCACAATGCGTGAACACAATGTGACCAGGTCAAACACGCAAGATGTGCCAAGTGAAACAAACAAAACAAGTCAAACACGCAAGATGTGCCAAGTCAAACAAACAAAATAAGCACAATGCGTCTCAAAGGAGTAAGATGTGACAAGTCAAACAAACAAAATAAGCACAATGCGTCTCAGAGGAGTAAGATGTGACAAACAAGCAGGATGATCAATTTATTTTGATTCATCTCACATCACAAGAATCCAAATTGCCTGAAGATAGATATGATCAGAACGGTGGAAAATTTATGAAGGCATGAATAAAGATCTTATCCTAGAAATAAATTCTATCACAAGGATTTATTGCAAAGAGACGTTGGAAATTCAAAAATGGCAAAGATAATAATATTTTAGAAACAACTTGAAAATCAAGTTGAAATAAAAATATTATCTTGTCAGGCAAGTTGACAATCAAATCAAATTGAAGACCAACTATTGTCAACAATATCAGGCTACAAGATTCAAATTTCAAATATCAAAATATCTCACTCCAACGGATATATTTGATTATCTATAAAAGGCCATGAAGACTTGAAGAAAAGAAAAAACACGAGACACATAATAGAGGCGGATGAACAAGTGCAAGTGCTAAATATTCATTGAAATATCTAGAAGAGAGACTTAGTCTGAATAGTCTCAAAATTAGTTGGAGAGAGATACAATTACATTTGTATATGTAATTGTAAAAAGAGTATAGCTGTGTGCAAAATACTCAAAAGAGTGTAGCTGTAACACCCCTAAATTTTAAGATATTTAATACCTATAAAATAAAGGGCTAATATATTATTATTTCCCAAACAGAGCATAAGCTAAACATAATAGTTGGGGTGTGCTATGCCACATCTGAGCTAGAGAACTCAGATGCACAGACTAAACTATCTAACAAAGCATTAACCACAATTGATATCTAAGTACAAATCAAGGCACGCAGGTCATCTCATCAAAGCTGGAACTACCTAAACTAATACCACGAATCCAACTAGCGCGCTCCGACGCTACTCAACTGTCTCTGAAAAACATTCGGTGTAACAACCATCAGCGAATAATGCCGGTAACCCACTCCAACGCGATAAGTACAATATAAGTAGATATAAGAAACTCATTTTGAAACTGGAATACATATATACTTACGAGACTCTAGTTTAAATCCAAGATCAAGACTCAAGGCATATTAACAGACTCAACAGTATAGAGTAATCATAAAGACTAACATGCACCCTAAGAACGCAATACAAGACATAACAAGCAGATAATCATATAAATAACAAGTAGAGGCAACGAAGGCATTTAATACAATCAATTAGCAAGTAGTCATCAAAGCACACAATTCATCCTCCAACCTTATACCAAGTTCCAACCTTGTAGCTCCCCTCCGTCCTTATATTAGTTCCAACCTATACCTCCAGGCAACTACATGCCCCCACCAATAAACCACCTATCAACCACCAACATATCAAGATGGTGTCGCAGTGCCAGTCAATGATCCGCACCTCTAGTGCCACTATCAAGGGGTTAGCGCATATAGCTCTAACATGACACCGTAGCACTTATAACCTGACCCATGCTCAATGGCAAGCAAGTCTAAGGTGGGTGTGTGCCTTTGGCACAGTCACCGCTATGACCTGTACATTTAGTACAATGACCGGGCAAAAGTGGTGCCAACCGCCAATAATTTATTTCCACAAATCACAATCTCATCATCATCATTCACAATGGCCATTACGCAATGACCACGATACGCATCACCAATCAATCAATCAACACATAATCACATAACAATCAAGACACAACAACAACGACACGTATTACACATAAATTCCTAGAACGATACCTAAAAACACCAAACGAGACTAATACACGACAAACGGGGTACAACGGGACCCAACGGAAAATAGGGAAACATCAAATGGGGAAAAACATCACGATACACATCAACATTCCAGCGGGTAGGTGGCGGGTGGAGGACCACCCGCCAGCCACCCACCAGCGGCCACCTTTTATTCTAGCGGGTGCCCAGCGGGCAGACCACCGCGGCTGCCCGCTGGAATAGTAGTCCTGGGCAGCGGGTAGGTGGCGGGTGGACACCCCCCACTGGTACACAGGAAACTTTCGGTCCCGAGATCTTTCGTGGAACCCGAAACCATGTCCAAACACATTCAAACACATAATGACAACACCACGGACTCAATTAACGGAATTAAACCAAGAATTACACCAAATACGTTCTAACACGACTGCTAAACATGTCAAGACTCCATATTAATCATATAACGGTTCAGGAACATCTGGAACCACAAGAATATCAAGAAATCTATATGCAAAGTCCTAAACACAAGTCCTAGGCTAGACTTAACACCCGATCATGCATAATCCCACCCAAATATACCAAGAACATCATAGTACGAAATTCACGATATAAACCCTAGGGCTCTAGACATCATTATAATACAAGATCATACACATAATCGATCACAATATCAAGAACATAAAGATTATCAAATAAGCACAATATAAATCCTATGCAAGGGCTCTATCAAGACTCAATCACAGAATTACACATACGATTATCAAAGGAGCCAATGAATAAGATATATCAAGGAAAATAGGTTTTGTTGAGACATGGGTTACCTCTTAGCCTTAATTAATCCTCACTTGGCTATTAAGGCTCTTCTCTAAGATTTCCATCCAATTGATCTACCTAGGCTTGGTGGTGGGGAATCTCCTGGGAATAATTTCGTGTAATATAACTATGGGTGGTAAGGGTTCTAATTGGTTTCTAATCCCTATTTATAGAGTTAGGAATCCTAATCAGAATCTGAATAGTAAAGGCCTACTTTCTATTCCTAACAGGTATATAGGTCTACGATTCCTAATTGGAATCTGACTAGCAAAAGGTTTTACTCTCTTTATTCCTTCTAGTTTAGGCAAGGGTTCACGATCCATGGTGGTCCATATTAATTAATTAAAGATAATCCTAACCAAATTAAAACCTATTTAAATATTATTAATGAAATTAATTAAATAATTAGTCCGGGATTAAAGTCTGTAACACGGGGTGTTACAGTAACTGTGTGCAAAACACTCGTAGTTGTTAAGTGTAGCTGTGTGCAAAACACTTAGTTGGTGTTTGAGTATAGCTGTGCGCGAAATACTTAGAGTTGAGTGTAGCTATGTGCGAGACACTCGGAGTTGGGTGTAGCTGTGTGCAAGACATCCGGAAGAAGTGTCTGTGTAGCACTTATTCACTATTGTAACTGTGTGTGGAAAATAGTGAATTACTCCTAGAAGTGAATGGAGTAAAGTGGCTAGGAAGATTACGCCACTTCCGAACCACTATAAATTGCCTCTCTCATTCACATACCGCACTTACTTAATTCGCTTTATTTATTTAAGTATTTGACTAACCCGTTTACTATTCACTGTTAATCTTAATCTTTCGGGTTTAGTGTGTTTTCACGTATGCATGTAACTCAAACTTTCCATGCTTAACATTTGAATTATTCTAAGCAAGTTTGACGTGTTGCATATGACATTCATCATACGGTTGACTTTGCACGAAGTCTTATTTATAATCTTGAATAATATTGTTAAATATTGAGTGAATCATCTGCTTTAAATATTCAAGATATTCATGTCATCTTTACACATCATCTGAGCATATCTAACATGTGTATGTGATTCAATTTATTGATTGGGCATAACTCTTTACTTATATTTATTCCGCTGTGCACTTCAAGTTAATTAAATACTTCTCTATTTACTTGTTATTTAAAGTTGAAATTACCAAAGAGTTATTTATTGTGAAAAAGTTTAAAAAGTCTATTCAACCCCCCTAGACTTTTTACCACCTTTCGGGACCAACAGATTGATTGTTGATTGTTGACTATGTGGATGTCTTGTTTTTGAGGATGATCTTTGTGACATTCTTGGAGTGGGGCCCAACTTCTTAGATGGTGTTGGAAACCTAGATCTAGGCAAGAGATTGCTAGATCCGGGTAGCCGTGAGCCTCTTCATTTCCCCGTCTTCGATCCGAGAGGGCAAGACCCAGAAAGAAGTGAGGGCAAAGTGTTTGTTTAAATGCCCCATAGAGAGCAAGAGTTCATATGGGCGGCGTTAGACCGTTTCGGATAACGCACTAGCCATCCACTTCTCTTGACTAGTAGTAGCGCACAATCAAATCACCACAAGCCTCCCCTTGTGGGATTGACCAATCACATGACTCAATCGAAACCCAATCCTAACCGCCTCTTCTCTCTCTGAGTGAATCCCTATTTCCCCGATCTACCTTTCTTAGTTTCAAATTCTTTTCCAAATTCCCTTTTAAACCAACAACGTCATTCCACTTTCCCGAATTGAGCCTTCAAGTGTTTAGTCTGCCTTACATTTTTCTAAGCCCAACTTCCAAGTTGTCATTCGTCGAGGGAATGACACTCGGGGTGATTCTAACTCCCCGTTTTACCATCTATCCATAACAATCCCAATCACACACAACTTCAATATTTTGACCACGCTTTCAAGAACCACAATCTAAGAGCGCAGTTGTCGGTCAGGGTCCAAGCAAAAATTAAATTACAGCAAGAGTTTCTTCGTTACCTCCAAGAATTATACTACTCGGAGAGCTTCCTCTATCTCTCGTATTCTGGGCATGCAGCGATCCTCCCTACCTTTTCGCTATTAGGGGGTGAACCTGTTCAAGGGGCGTAACAGGCCTATTTACTATCAACACTTGCTAGAAAAAGTTGACAGCATCTTGCTCAATTGGCGCCGTAAATTGCTCTCTCCTGGAGGTCGCCTGATTCTCATCAAGCATGTTCTATCAATGATTCCTTTATACACAGCTGCTTCAATGCCTTTGCTGCGAATGACGGAGAAAGCTCTTGAATCTAAGCTCGCCAATTTCTTTTGGGGCACAATTCAGGGCAAACCAAAGAGACATTGGATGTCTTGGAAAAACATATGTTTTCACACAGATGAGGGAGGCTTGGGGGTCCTATCCCTTGCTCAATCCAACAGGCTTTTTTCTACTAAGCTTTATTTCATTGCAGGGAGGTTCTTTACGGAGTCATTTTATACATGCTCGCTACATTGATGGTCAGGTTAGGGCTACGGACTCTATCTCTTGGCGATGAATGCAACGAGTGAGGGAGTTTGTTTGTGACAATGTTACTGATCTTTCTGGGGAGTTAATCTGGACGATCTCCCCTTATGACAACTTCTCCTTCTCTTCGGCCTACTCCGAGCTCAGACCGAAAGCAGGGAGCACTCTCTCCTCCCAATGTATTTGAAGTGATGGCTTTTCATCGAAATTGTCTGTGTTCATGTGGAGGCTTCTCGGTGCTCTCTCACTAGTACAAAATGGAGCAAAGAAATCTGACTTTAGGTTACCCTTCTTTAAACAAAGGTAGTGTATTCTTAAAAAAAAAAAAATAGGGCGGTGGCATAATTGTAAATAAATGAATAAGAAACCGCTACCTTTTTTAAAAAAAGGGAAGCGGTTTATTAAAGCGGATAGACTTTCTGCTACCCTTTCTTTTAGAAAGGGCACGGAAACCAGATCGGGAAAAAATAAAAGAAAAAAAAAAGCAAAAAAGAAAAAAAAACAACAAAACAAAAACCTTCAACGCCTCTTCAGTTTTCACAAACCAGATCTCGCTCTCACACCTCTCCAACACTCTCTGCCGTCGCTCCTCACTGACCGCACCTCCGCCGTCGACACCGCCTCTCTCACCACGCTCCCTCAGCCCCGATCAAATGCCACCGCCGACACCAAGCTAAGGACTCAAGCGCCACTCTCATCAACCACCCATGACGCTTCTCTTCTTCTCGTTAGCTACCGGTGACCAGACCCAGCCGAAAACGACGCCTCCACGTACTGTCGACGACGCCTGCCACTGACGTCGCCACCACCACTGTGGTTCTCAGCCGCCGCCGGTTCCGCCGAAGGCACTACCTATGAGGTTCTCTTTCTGCTTTCTTCGTCCTTTTCTTTCTCAATTCATTTGGGGTGCCAATGTTATTGAAATGAATTTATGTGTTTTGCTTGATCTGCCTCTTCGCGTTTAGCTTGGATTTAGTTGGATCCGGAGCTTCGTGGACTAAATTAGCTCTGTTTAGACAGAGATTGTTGATATCTGTTTTCTTTTTTAGCAGATAATAGTTGTTTCGAGCTAGGTTTCAACCTGGGAATTGAAGTGTAATTTCTCATTTCTAGATGATTCTTCTTTTGGGGTTTTCGAGTATTTACTTAAGGAACCCTTAACTGCAGATACAATAAGCATGAGATTGGGGTGGGGGCTGAAAATAATTAACCAGGACCTCTAATTTAGTTAAATAATTTAGTTAAATAATGGTTTAGTTTTCTAAGAGTTTTTTCCACTTTTGGTTACTTGACTATGATACCCCCAATTTTGGTGCATGACTATTCAATTGCTCTCACATTTTATCATCAGCTCAACTTTTCGGAGGCTTAGGTTGCCCGAGAAATTGAGCTAAGGATGAAGAAATTGAATATTCATGCACAAACACTAAAAATCTTGATAGTCGGAGACCTAATTTTGGAAGGGGTATTATAGTAGAGGAACCAAAAGTGAAAAAAAACTTGTTTCGTAATAAACATCTTTGGTAGTTCTAGTATTCTGTAGTAATTGTATTAGCAGATGCCAGTATGTCACTTTACTGTTTCTTGAAAAGATGTATCTCTAAAATGCAAGTTCCATGATCAGTTCTTGCTCTCATGTCTTTGTGGTTTCTCAATCTTCTCCCAAGTTTAACAATTAGTTTGTTTTGATGTTTTTATGATTGTTCTAGTTGCTGATGACTAGTGCTATCATATGTGACTAGAGGAGAATCAGAGACTGGCGGTGGAATGCTCGTTGTTGCAGTGCAAGAGATGGGAGAGAGAGTGCTCGTTGTACGACAGGGACCGAGAGGCATTGATGGTTCTACAAGTACGATGCCCTGTAGCTGGTCTGGTCTTGTAAATGTAGTATTGTCAAAGGAGGACATATATCAGAAGTACCTGGATGATACCAAGGCAAGAAAAACACATTTTGCTTCTGCTGATTCTGCAACTAATGGTTCTTCTTGTTGTTAGTAATCATTGGATAGGTCAAACAATATAATGTAGAAATACTCCCTGCCTATGAGCTCATAGTATCATCACTCACTTGCTTTATGTACGACAGTTTCCCGTCCTCGCCAGTGCCAGGTACAATCTCGTCATCTTAGGAGACGAGTCTGTCGGCAAAAGCAGTATCATCACTCACTTTATGAACAACAAGTTCCGTAACAAATACGAGGTAAATGCGGCTGTGATTAGTTTAAACTAATTTTGTAAATTTCTTCAGAGTAATAGAAGGACAATAATGGATGATCCTTTTATACGAAATTACATTGAAGATCTTATGAGGAATGTGAGGACTCAAGTATTGCTCAAACTGATCAAGCCTTACACAAGAATTCGGATCCCTTTCATATCCAAGGTGATTAGATAGAGATCAGTGTCCTCTTGTACAGTGAAGGAGCTGCAAGGACATTCCATATTTGTTTTCCTATTTATCTATTCATTATTACAGAGTATTATTTTAAATACCGCCATTCTTCTGATTTTTATTGGTTTTTGACTTTTTTTTCCACACTATATTTCACATTTGTAATGTTTTGCATGCAGGTCAAAGGGGATGAAGAAATACACTGCCGTGGATAAGTGGAACACACAGCTTAGGTCCCTCTATCAGACTGTTAGTAACCAAGTTTGTTAATTTTTGAGATTTTTTGAGAGTATATTCTATCTGAAAAGTCACTCCTAGTCCTGGAAAACAATAGATTACAAGCATTACATTTACTTTTGCACCAAAGATGGTCATGGGTAGTGGAGAAGTGTCCATTTACAGAGATGTTGGCTCAAATCTAGTTTAAATGTTTTTGACAAATTTGCTTACTAAACAAACTTAAAAAGTTAAAAGGTACTTCATCATTAGCTGTGCAAATTATTAGTTGTGTAAAACTACCCCCAATAATTGGAAGAAAATAGTATAGATTCTTGTTATGATCTTGATTTTCGCCACTTGATAAACTTGATGAATTGATAAAACCCTACAAGTCAAAGCTGTCCTGAGTTATTTCTGATGCACATGTATGTGTTCATAATTTAATCAGGTTCGTTTGTGGTGCGTATTAAGGTTTGACGAGCTCTTGCACGAATTAAGGGTTGGCTCTCCACTTGTGTGCCTAATCTGGTCAGCCATCACATATGAACTATCTTCTTCTTCTTATATTCTCTTCTCTGTTCCCCTTTGTTTTGGGTTTCAAGTTACAGAGAAGTTATATTTAGCCCGAGGAGACTTGAGGCTGCTTTTCATATTAAAGAAGTCTTTAACAGTTGCACTATTTATATTTGTCTGTTTAGTTTTCTGCATTGTTTACGCCTTATGGGTTCATCTAGTCATTTCGATATGTTTTCTCATCTGATGAGCATGTTGTAATGGATTATTTGATTAACTAGATAACGTGACTAATTGAAGTTATGGAAACTTGGTATTCAGGTTCCGTCTCATGTATTAATGGGTATACCAGTGAATGGTGAATCTATGTCTTTATCTCCTCTTGGTGAAGCTTGCTTGAGATCGGACTTGACTGCCATACATGAAATCTTAGAAAAACTTGGGTACAAAGATGACGAAGGAGCAGCTGCCGAGGTTTGTCTCATTACAATTATTTGATTTATTTTCATATCATGCCCTGTTTGGATATATGCTCTTCTGTCAGCTGGAGTCTATTCCTAGCTTAATTATAGTGAATAATGGTGGCATCAACTAAACTCAACCCATCAATGAAGTGCTGTTAGGATATCACTATAACTATGAAATTAGTGGAGGGAAGAAAACATGAGTAGTAAGTTCCAATTATCCCTGTAATGATATGTGGAGTTTACAGGGAGTGCTCTGAGAGGTTTAGTAAAAGCTTTTTTGGGTACACTTCTTCAGGAAAGCATTTTGTGGGTGTTATTAAGTTGTCTCACCTGTACACTGTTGTTGAGTGTAATTTCAGAAGCAGTAACTGTTTTTGGCTTTGTGCATTTTCGTCTGGACAGAACTATTTTATGATATAGAAAATTTAAATATAACTATGTATATTTAAAGTATGTTGATAATATTGTGTTTTGATAGTTTGTTAATGGTTAATATTATGTTGATATGTTTTAAAATCCTATACGAATTCAAAACACAAAACATATCAACATAATATTAACCATTAACAAACTATCAAAACACAATATTATCAACATACTTTAAATATACATAGTTATATTTAAATTTTCTATATCATAAAATAGTTCTGTCCAGACGAAAATGCACAAAGCCAAAAACAGTTACTGCTTCTGAAATTACACTCAACAACAGTGTACAGGTGAGACAACTTAATAACACCCACAAAATGCTTTCCTGAAGAAGTGTACCCAAAAAAGCTTTTACTAAACCTCTCAGAGCACTCCCTGTAAACTCCACATATCATTACAGGGATAATTGGAACTTACTACTCATGTTTTCTTCCCTCCACTAATTTCATAGTTATAGTGATATCCTAACAGCACTTCATTGATGGGTTGAGTTTAGTTGATGCCACCATTATTCACTATAATTAAGCTAGGAATAGACTCCAGCTGACAGAAGAGCATATATCCAAACAGGGCATGATATGAAAATAAATCAAATAATTGTAATGAGACAAACCTCGGCAGCTGCTCCTTCGTCATCTTTGTACCCAAGTTTTTCTAAGATTTCATGTATGGCAGTCAAGTCCGATCTCAAGCAAGCTTCACCAAGAGGAGATAAAGACATAGATTCACCATTCACTGGTATACCCATTAATACATGAGACGGAACCTGAATACCAAGTTTCCATAACTTCAATTAGTCATGTTATCTAGTTAATCAAATAATCCATTACAACATGCTCATCAGATGAGAAAACATATCGAAATGACTAGATGAACCCATAAGGCGTAAACAATGCAGAAAACTAAACAGACAAATATAAATAGTGCAACTGTTAAAGACTTCTTTAATATGAAAAGCAGCCTCAAGTCTCCTCGGGCTAAATATAACTTCTCTGTAACTTGAAACCCAAAACAAAGGGGAACAGAGAAGAGAATATAAGAAGAAGAAGATAGTTCATATGTGATGGCTGACCAGATTAGGCACACAAGTGGAGAGCCAACCCTTAATTCGTGCAAGAGCTCGTCAAACCTTAATACGCACCACAAACGAACCTGATTAAATTATGAACACATACATGTGCATCAGAAATAACTCAGGACAGCTTTGACTTGTAGGGTTTTATCAATTCATCAAGTTTATCAAATGGCGAAAATCAAGATCATAACAAGAATCTATACTATTTTCTTCCAATTATTGGGGGTAGTTTTACACAACTAATAATTTGCACAGCTAATGATGAAGTACCTTTTAACTTTTTAAGTTTGTTTAGTAAGCAAATTTGTCAAAAACATTTAAACTAGATTTGAGCCAACATCTCTGTAAATGGACACTTCTCCACTACCCATGACCATCTTTGGTGCAAAAGTAAATGTAATGCTTGTAATCTATTGTTTTCCAGGACTAGGAGTGACTTTTCAGATAGAATATACTCTCAAAAAATCTCAAAAATTAACAAACTTGGTTACTAACAGTCTGATAGAGGGACCTAAGCTGTGTGTTCCACTTATCCACGGCAGTGTATTTCTTCATCCCCTTTGACCTGCATGCAAAACATTACAAATGTGAAATATAGTGTGGAAAAAAAAGTCAAAAACCAATAAAAATCAGAAGAATGGCGGTATTTAAAATAATACTCTGTAATAATGAATAGATAAATAGGAAAACAAATATGGAATGTCCTTGCAGCTCCTTCACTGTACAAGAGGACACTGATCTCTATCTAATCACCTTGGATATGAAAGGGATCCGAATTCTTGTGTAAGGCTTGATCAGTTTGAGCAATACTTGAGTCCTCACATTCCTCATAAGATCTTCAATGTAATTTCGTATAAAAGGATCATCCATTATTGTCCTTCTATTACTCTGAAGAAATTTACAAAATTAGTTTAAACTAATCACAGCCGCATTTACCTCGTATTTGTTACGGAACTTGTTGTTCATAAAGTGAGTGATGATACTGCTTTTGCCGACAGACTCGTCTCCTAAGATGACGAGATTGTACCTGGCACTGGCGAGGACGGGAAACTGTCGTACATAAAGCAAGTGAGTGATGATACTATGAGCTCATAGGCAGGGAGTATTTCTACATTATATTGTTTGACCTATCCAATGATTACTAACAACAAGAAGAACCATTAGTTGCAGAATCAGCAGAAGCAAAATGTGTTTTTCTTGCCTTGGTATCATCCAGGTACTTCTGATATATGTCCTCCTTTGACAATACTACATTTACAAGACCAGACCAGCTACAGGGCATCGTACTTGTAGAACCATCAATGCCTCTCGGTCCCTGTCGTACAACGAGCACTCTCTCTCCCATCTCTTGCACTGCAACAACGAGCATTCCACCGCCAGTCTCTGATTCTCCTCTAGTCACATATGATAGCACTAGTCATCAGCAACTAGAACAATCATAAAAACATCAAAACAAACTAATTGTTAAACTTGGGAGAAGATTGAGAAACCACAAAGACATGAGAGCAAGAACTGATCATGGAACTTGCATTTTAGAGATACATCTTTTCAAGAAACAGTAAAGTGACATACTGGCATCTGCTAATACAATTACTACAGAATACTAGAACTACCAAAGATGTTTATTACGAAACAAGTTTTTTTTCACTTTTGGTTCCTCTACTATAATACCCCTTCCAAAATTAGGTCTCCGACTATCAAGATTTTTAGTGTTTGTGCATGAATATTCAATTTCTTCATCCTTAGCTCAATTTCTCGGGCAACCTAAGCCTCCGAAAAGTTGAGCTGATGATAAAATGTGAGAGCAATTGAATAGTCATGCACCAAAATTGGGGGTATCATAGTCAAGTAACCAAAAGTGGAAAAAACTCTTAGAAAACTAAACCATTATTTAACTAAATTATTTAACTAAATTAGAGGTCCTGGTTAATTATTTTCAGCCCCCACCCCAATCTCATGCTTATTGTATCTGCAGTTAAGGGTTCCTTAAGTAAATACTCGAAAACCCCAAAAGAAGAATCATCTAGAAATGAGAAATTACACTTCAATTCCCAGGTTGAAACCTAGCTCGAAACAACTATTATCTGCTAAAAAAGAAAACAGATATCAACAATCTCTGTCTAAACAGAGCTAATTTAGTCCACGAAGCTCCGGATCCAACTAAATCCAAGCTAAACGCGAAGAGGCAGATCAAGCAAAACACATAAATTCATTTCAATAACATTGGCACCCCAAATGAATTGAGAAAGAAAAGGACGAAGAAAGCAGAAAGAGAACCTCATAGGTAGTGCCTTCGGCGGAACCGGCGGCGGCTGAGAACCACAGTGGTGGTGGCGACGTCAGTGGCAGGCGTCGTCGACAGTACGTGGAGGCGTCGTTTTCGGCTGGGTCTGGTCACCGGTAGCTAACGAGAAGAAGAGAAGCGTCATGGGTGGTTGATGAGAGTGGCGCTTGAGTCCTTAGCTTGGTGTCGGCGGTGGCATTTGATCGGGGCTGAGGGAGCGTGGTGAGAGAGGCGGTGTCGACGGCGGAGGTGCGGTCAGTGAGGAGCGACGGCAGAGAGTGTTGGAGAGGTGTGAGAGCGAGATCTGGTTTGTGAAAACTGAAGAGGCGTTGAAGGTTTTTGTTTTGTTGTTTTTTTTTTCTTTTTTGCTTTTTTTTTTTTCTTTTATTTTTTCCCGATCTGGTTTCCGTGCCCTTTCTAAAAGAAAGGGTAGCGGAAAGTCTATCCGCTTTAATAAACCGCTTCCCTTTTTTTAAAAAAGGTAGCGGTTTCTTATTCATTTATTTACAATTATGCCACCGCCCTATTTTTTTTTTAAGAATACACTACCTTTGTTTAAAGAAGGGTAGCCTAAAGTCAGATTTCTTTGCTCCATTTTATACTAGTGTTTATCTCTTCAATGCGTCTTTCAATGGTGTGATGCCCTTGTTTATCGTCCTTATGCTGTGGAGGTGGACTCTCTTACTCTTGCTAATCTTGTGGCAGCTGATTCGACAAAGATTTCATGGAAAATTAAGGAAGCTATTCTTTATGTTCGCTCTTGTCTTGGATCGTAGGGATTGTGGATCAGGCATGTTTTTCGTGATGCTAATCGCGTAGCTGACGCCCTTGCAACGGTTGGTCTTAGTGCTGGATCATCTCAAATTTTTTGTTCTATTAATTTTTTGCCGGAACAAGCCAAATTGGCTCTTTTGTTTGATCTCAAAGACTTCGCCTCTCTTCGGACTATTCATCATTAATAAATGTTCATATTTTTTATTAAAAAAAAGTTCCATATATATTAGACAATACAATAAAATCATATGATAATCTACCATCAATTAGTTTAGATATTTATTACAACCAAAATTTTTTCTTTAAAAAAAAAACAATCAAAATTTCTTCTTTTTTTTTTAACACTACTGACTCTATTACATTGTAGTATCTGTCATACATACTTTCTCAACCTGTTGAAGCACAAAGAGTCAACAGTCAACACCGCCTCCTGTTGTTCATCTATACTCGATCTGTTGATCACCGCCTCCATTGATGAGGCTCAATCTTATGACCTGGCATCCCAATATGGGAAACTACATGTCATCTGAGCGCAAGATGCTTGGCAAACAACTAAATCTCGTGATCGCTTGCAATTAAATTAAACTAAAAACTCCCGCTTACCATCTACGACATGGGAAATGTTAATTTTTGGAATGTTACCTATCTTTGCTAAGATTTCACGCTTTTCACCTACTGACTTGAACTTTGCATTGAATTTGTCAGCCAAGTTATAGATAGTAATTACTTTAAGATCAGACAAATGTTCAATACCGATTGGTATCTGCTCAACCAATTTGCAGTCTCTCAACACAAAGCTTTCTAGATGATCCAATGTACCTTCCTCCATTCTTATCCATTTCAATCCCTCGAACTCATCGATAATCAATTTCTTGAGCTTTGAGAACTTTTTGGCCTTGAAGCACAATCCTTCCCCTTCATAAGACTTTAAAAGATAAAAGATGTGCTAACATGGGCAGATCTTGGAAAAAGGGTAATGGATCTTCAACAAGTCTATTCCAATTCAAGTGTACATTGGTTAAGCCTACAAATGATGATAGCCATTGAGGTACTCTATCCAAACGCTCTATCAATTGTAATGTACGAAGACGAAGAGGAACGACATATAGAGGATGCTGGATATCAAGGATCTCATCTTCTGAATTTGAATGAAGACTTAAAGAGTGTAAGTGTAAAATATTTTTACACAATATTGGCAATTTTATTTTTATTTTACTAGTGTTAGTTTTAATATTAACTTAGAGTTGCTATTTCATTACAGACCACGTGAGATCATAATTAGTGGACAGCATTCCTTGTATTCTTAAAGTCCACAAAGAAGCTTTTCAAATTGAGTGGATGAGGCTTGTTCGAACAGTGTGTTGCTAAGGGAAAGGCTACATGGGTGGATCAAGACAAACAAGGCTTATGAAAGGATTATAAATACACACAGTTCGAAGGAAGCAATTGCCGATTTTTGAGAATTACAATTGCGAGAGCTATTCTGATATTTACAAAGCAATTTATAATTTGAATGTATTTTCTGATTTAATTCGTAAGAATATTTGTATTGTACTGCATGAACAGTACGTGGTACTACTGATGCAATTTGTGTAGATTGTTCGGGCATTCGTGTGTCAGTCCTGGATAGGTGTTAGAAAGAGTGGTAGTGGTAAAGGCTGGAGGCCGTTTTCAGTTACGTCTTGTAATACTCCTTTGGTGAACATCTATAGTGGATTGGGCAGACGTGGGTTGCCCCGCAGACGTAGGAGAAGGAGCTCCGAACTGCGTAACAATTTTCTTGTGTTTTTATTTTATTTATGCTTTCTGTAGTTATTATTTATACTTGCTTAAACAAGTTAAATTAATTAACTAAATCTAGTGCATAACTCAATTAACACATAAAAACACAGATCTTTTATTTTTTCAAGTATTACGGAACATTTTCAATAGGTATCA